TTGATGCTCAATAGTCATATCCCATCACATTCATGGTTGGCGTGTGGCGATTGTGGCCGCGGCAAACGGCCAACAATAAGCGGATGGGGGCAAGGGGCGAATGGCAACGCTCGCAGACGGCCATGACCTACAAGATCGTCCGGCGACAGCGAGAGATGGACCAAGGCTGGCGTCACCTCGAGGAGACAGAGAGCCAATGATGGGGTTACGCATGAAGGGAGGTGAGCAGTAATGGTTGAGATTCTCAACTTTGTGGACGGCGCGGAGGCCCGCGATCTAACAGACCCGGACCGCGGGAGGCGAGAGGTCATGGACCGGCTGGCCATCCGTGGTGGGAGGCCGTGATGAGAGACCTGGCGTGCCGTGGTTGTGGTATCACTGAGAGGTAATCAAGTAGGACGAAGTGCTACTATCAAATGATGGACCGGGGCATCCAATGGGAAAGGCAAAGCAGGGCATGTCAAGTCAAGTCAAGTCACTTGGCCTTGAATGCCACGAGCGGGGAAGTGGAGGGCGAAGTACAGATACGAGGAGGGATTCAAGGGCAGCTCATCTCCCCTGCATCTTGACGGGCCGGGCTGTCTTGGACGGACAAGTGAGGGCGGCTAAGCCAACAGGCGGAGTCCATCTGGCGTGGTGCTGAGAGGTGTGGCCATTGGATGAATGGAATGAGGGGCGACTTAGACGTCCTGATGAGGTTGGAAAGACCGGAGCGAGCGGTGACCGTCATGGTTATCAATGGTTGAGGTTTGAAGGGATTTCCCTGAATGTTCCCTATGGAAATCTCTCTTGATGCGTAAGTAGAAAGTGGAAAGATGCATCCATGGATGATTGCTGCCAGTCAGAGGTATGGGTAGCTTGGAGCTTGGACCGTTGCATAACCTTGAGGCGCGGTACGTATGTTCGCAGATTGGCATCTGTACGAAGGCAGACGGGAGTACAAATACAGATACGGATACAGATCCAGGATGGGCGGCAGTGGTTGCAGATGTGGGCGAATGTCATTTCGCGTCAGGTCGCGAGTGCCGATGGAGACGTGGATGGACGGATGCGAGGGGGGAAGGTGGACTTTATCAACGCGTATCCAGACGGCTTTCCGTCTTTTGTCGAGTGTCGAATGTCGGCTCTGCCTCCTCCCTTGGCTGAAGATTAAAGTGACCGGGAGGGAAGCTGAGGGGAAGAGCGCTGAAATGATCTGCGCTTGCCCGAAAGGGAACACGACGTGATTTTTGGCGACACGATTCGACGGCCGTGTCGCAGGTGCCCACTTAAACCACGACGCGTTTGATTGGGCGTCTGACGGCTGCACCACGACGCTGCAGTAGCACCGCCCTCGTGCCTGCCAATGAGAAGCGGCAAGCGCCCGTCGCATGAACTTATGAAGTTCGTTTTGCAGCGGTTCCACTTGACTTGGAAGGAAGGAAAGAACATTGGACTGGCAGTGACACTCGAGTTGGAAGGAACCTGCCTCTGTCTCTTCTGTCTCTCTCTCCTCCTCTCTTTCCCTCTGGATGTCATGTCTCTCACCTGTGTCCTTTCCTGGTCCTGATTGGCACTCATCACGAAAGTCACACGTTTTCACCACGTCCTCCAGTCCTGCCTTGGTCTTTACCCAATTTCGTAGCTGCAGCCAGCCTGCATCCCAATGAAGCCAGTCCATTTTTCTAAGTTAGGTCGCCGTCTGAGGCCTGAGCGAGCCCTGCCAGTGATTGTCCCCTCCCTTGCTTCCCTACGAATGCCTACCGCGCCTACCCACCTTAGCTGGCAAGCTGGGTCCCCTGGTCTGGTCCACGTCTCCACCGAAAGCCGCCGATGGTGTTTTGGCGTGTCCGTCTTTTTTAGAGCAAGGTACCCGTCATCCCGTCTCTTAAACGGCCACCGCGTTTGTACTCTTCTCCTCCCGCTGACAAGGCGACTACTCAGACACGCTTACTTCCCACACCTCACACCTCACACCTCACACCACACACACCACAAACGCACACCGTCGTCTTTCTTTCGTCGTTGCCCTCGGCGGTACAGACAGTAGAGAGTACCTTAGCTTCCTTCTCCAAGCACGTACACCCAAGGCCTCGCATTAATCGACCAACACCGCCTGTTACCCATCCAAGACGATCCCCCTCAATCACTGGCCGACTCAGACCCGACCCGACCTGACCTGACCTTACCTTACACGCCCGCCCATCGATTCCCTGGCCCCGTGCGCGCGCGAAAAGAGAACGACATCCCGCCAAAGAGAGAGAGAGAGAGAGAGAGACAGAGAGACGCTGATCCCTGCTCCCTACCGATTCTCGCGGCCTCTCACACTCTTTTCTCCCTCTATCCCCCCCTTCCCACCCCACGCCAGCTCCTCCTCAAACTCCGTTTCTGTCACTCTTCCGCTCTCTCATCCACTTCCTGCAAGAAGCTCCAAAACACACCACGATTCCTCTGCGTGGACGAGAACAACAAATAAACAAATACGCTCCTTACCCCATCACGCCCACCGCCGCCTTCCAATCCCATACCCTCAACCAACGTCTGTCTGGCACCGACTTGCTTCACTGGGGAGAGACTGGTGTATCGACGGGACACCGCTTCAACCTCCCAGTCCCCGCCTTACACCCCCGTGGTCCCCGTTCCCCACGAATCGAGTCTCGTCCGTCGATCAGAAGAGGAGTCTGTCCGTACTGTAGTCGGGCATCGACTCAATCTTGCCGACGCACAACAACACCACCGCACAACACCGCACCGCTGCCATCCACTCGTCGCGCCCAAAGGACAACACCGCTGACGATCCACACGATGGCTACCATCTCCCGCCAACCCTTCGCGCCCCTCGATGGAGCAAGACTGCAGAACCTGACGAGCATCAAAAATAGACAGAATGGTATGTTTGATCACATCACGACCAAACACATCATTCCCCTTCCTCTCCATCCACCAGTGTCATGTCATCCCATGTCCTGCAAATGCAAACCCAAATCTTGTCGCCCCGTGTGGCCTTATGAGATGATCCGTCATACCACCTGAAAGGATGCGCCCAACTTGCCAGCCTAAGCAACAACCCCCAAAAACACAAAATCAAAAAACTTCGCACAGGAAAGGAACCCCAACTGACGCTGCGTTTTAGCCATTTCTCCTGCTTCCGGCGCCAAGCGCAAGGCCTCCGACGTAGAAACCGACGACTTCGAAAATGTCGATCCATCCGTGTTTTCTAAGCGATCCAAGGGCCTCGACAGCTTCTTCCCCTCCAAGGACTCCCTCAAGCCGTCTTCCTTTATCCTGAAAAAGGCCGCGCCTCTGGCCGAAAGCCCCGCGTTGACCAGCTCGAAGCCGACTCTCCCCCGCCCTCGCAGTCTGCTGCAGCCCAAGTCGCCCACTGCCAGAATCAACGCCGGCATTGTCAAGTCGTCCCCGCTCTCCGCACCTGCCGGCCGCTCGCCGACCCGTGGCAAGCGCTCTGGCCTCCTCTCCAGCCGCCGCCGGACTGCCGGCCCCTACACCCGTGTAGACCCGCCCATGTTCAACCTGTCGTCTACGTCTTCTGGTGCTGCTCCTTTCAGTCTTGATGCCGCCCTCAAGGGCACCATCCCTAGCTATGCCGCCCGTTCGTCTGTCGCCTCGTCTTCGCGCAGCGCGCCCAAAGAGCTGCTTGGGCCCGAGATGAAGTCTTCATGGTTCTTTGACATTCACGAGGACACTCCCGAGCAGGAGATGACCAACATGCTTCAGCACGGTACCTGCGTCCTCGACATTAGCTCCGATGAGGAGAGCGAGCGCAAGCTCAGTCGGGATCGCGCCGAAGGCCGTGACAAGGAGAATGTGCCGCCATCAGATGACGTCAGCCAAACCTCGGCCAGACGCTCCGCCCGCCGCGCAAGCGAGGACGAAATGATCTTTGAAAAGGAGAGGACAGCACTGGGCGAGATGGACGCCAGCGAGTTCTACGCTCTCGGCTGCGACGAGTCATCGGTCATTATCATCCCAGCTGATGAGGACGAAGAGGAGGAGCCTGTTGCTTCCGCCCCAGTTCCCGAGGTGAACGACTGCCCGCCTGAAGTCCAGGCCGAGTTGGACGAGCCCGTTGTTGAGTCCAGAGATGTCGATGACCTAATGGGCAAGTCTACCGAGCCAGCAGCCAATGCAGCTGTTCTTGAGCCTATAGAAGGCACCGGGGAGAGTTTTGAGCTCTGGGAGAGCGGGAGCGCAAAAGATGACGCGGAAGTAGTTGCTGCTACTTCGGAGTGCTGATGTTTCCTCGCGATTCGAATTGGGTCGATTGGCTTTCCTCTGCTTCGCTTCCAACTATTCACCATCCTTTTAATTACGGGACCATGATTCATGCGGCGTTGGTTAGGTTATTGTTTTGCAAGGGTACTCGGATGGGACTGGACGGCCGACAAGCGATAGGGACCCGGGCACTTTTGGTGTCGGATTTATGGGTGTACAAAGGTGGAATCGGAGTACTGTCGTCTTTTCGCTGTTTGAATTATTGATATCCCCATCAATAGAGTGCGTTAGCGTTTGAACTGTCTTGCAGCTATTTCGGTGAGGTCTAGGAGTAATTGCACCGCAACGTGACGAGGCGCAGGCGTCATGCGATTCAGTATATAAGACACATCTGGGCATGCGATCAGAATCCAAAGATTGCGATGCTCCGGCGCATCGCAAGGTCCTTCCAAACCGCACGCCTAAAGACGTCGGCCGTCGCGCTCCACGTGACGCGACTTGCGCGGCCCGATGGCTTCAACGCGCTGAGGCGACAGGTAACCCGGGCGGGGCCTCCACTGCTCTTGCCGCCGATCCAACACCACTAGCATTGACAGCTACAGTGGGTTGGCGCTGTGGCACCGTCTGAAGGTACTGCACCACTCAACGACAGCTGCGAACTTCACAACGTCAAAATCCACAGCATTAAGGTGGTCCGTTTGCAACGTCCAATATCCCTCACAGTTCAGGACTAGAAAAACAGAAAACCCAATCACCTGTCGACCGTCTTGTCTTAGACCGCCGGACCAATGGCTTCCATCAACGACCTGGCCACGGCGGCCATAGCCTCGTCCACCGCAACGGGAGCTCCTGCGGAGGATGGCGGAGCCCCTCCCGCCGGCGTCACCCGTGGCGCCTTCATTGTGTTCGAGGGTCTCGACCGCAGTGGTAAGACGACACAAGTAAAGCTTCTCGAGCAGAGGTTGGTCGAGCTGGGAAGGAAGACGAAGGCCATGCGCTTCCCTGGTGAGTCTTGGCTGTCTGGGCCCTTTGGGTTGGGGCTGGGCTGATGGGATTGAGGCAACAGACAGGACATCCCCTACGGGGAACATGATTGATCAGTATCTCAGGAGCAATCTGGAGATGGAGGACCACGTTATTCACTTGCTATTCAGCGCTAACAGGTGGGAGGCTGTGTAAGTCTCGCACCCGTCATCAACCTTGCACAGGAGGATTTCTTGCTGATATCAACCAGAGAATACATCAAATCTCTCCTCGCATCAGGAACGACAGTCCTTTGCGATAGATACTACCTCTCGGGCATCGTCTACAGCGCCGCCAAGCAGAATCCCTCGCTCAACCTGCACTGGGCCCGCGCGCCGGAGCTGGGCCTGCCGAGGCCCGACCTTACCCTCTTCCTGGACCTTGATGAGTCGGTCGCCAAGGAGCGTGGGGGCTGGGGAGGCGAGGTGTATGAGAAGGCTGAGTTCCAGCGCCGGGTGCGCGAGCTGTTCTGGGGTCTTCATCGTGGTCGGATTGGGCCTGATGGCACGTTAGGAGAGGAGGACCGCGAGGATGCCGATTTCCGCCAGGAGAAGGAGGACCTGGTTGTCGTTGATGCCGGTGCTAGTGTCGAGGAGGTCGCGGAGGAAATCTGGACAAAGGTCGGCCCTAGGCTTGAAGCGGTTGAGAAGGGTGAGTTTGGCGATACCCCAAGAACGGTGTCGTAATGAGGTGAGGGTGCGAGGAAGTCTCTGGTGATGATCCAAGAGTGCGATCAAGTATTCAATATCACGGAGAGGATGAATATCATAAAGCAGAACAGGGCAATGCGCCTCTAATACAGGGCACTTCGGCGAGACCGCTCTGCCATGCACTACACGGGTGGGAAGACTTCCCGCCCGGGAAGCACGATGGTCTTGGCTGAGAACGCCACAGAGGTATCTCCACGAGGTAGATATACTTGAAAGCAAGATGAGAGATAACACATCACTGGTCCTCAACAACGGAGGATGCGTGGTTGGGGCACTTGGTGAGAGCACCAAAACGAAGATGCCCCGCAGCAAGCCCTACTTAGTACGGCTCACTCAGTGGTCCTCCAACAAATCACCAAGCGGGGCTCAGCCCCGTCACTCCCCTTGGTGTAGTTGGTTTATCACGTTCGACTGTAATGGTTCCATTGTCATCGAAAGGTCTCTAGTTCGATTCTGGAAGGGGAGAACCAACTTTTTTGACTTTTGTCGAGCTTTCCTTGCCGATGCCGGCTGTCTCCTTTTTATTGCTTCAGCAGACTGATGAGAGAAGCTGGATTGCCTTATTACTCGTCCACCTGCACTACTCATGAATTAGTCCCTCAATTAGAAAAGTCACCAAACGCATTTGCAATGGATGTCCCAGCTGCCGCTAACGCCCTGGGCACATTGGGCGCAGTAAGAATCTCACAACCACCAAAACATGAAGCCAAACTTACACATCGCAGGTCTGCTGGTCAATCCAGGTCCGTTGCATCTCTCATCTTCACCCGTCATCCCCCGTCTAACTATTCACCAGCTCATCCCGCAAATCATCATCAACTACCGTCGCCACAATGCGACCGGCCTGCAACCCTCCATGATGATGCTCTGGGCCTGGGCCGGTGTGCCGTTGGGTGTCTACAACATTGTCGAGGACTTCAACATCGCCCTTCGCATCCAGCCCCAGATTCTGACGTTCCTGAGTCTGGCAACCTGGATCCAGTGCTACTACTACGAACGGGTAGGCATTCCAAATTCCGCGCTCCTCGTCTCGGACAGCTGACATGTCCAGAACTGGTCCGTCCTCCGCTCCCTCGCGGTCGTGACCCCCATCGCGGCAGTCATGGCCGGGATCCAGACAGCTCTCGTCTTCGCTCTGCGAATCCCCAAATCCCGCGGCACCGAGTGGCCGATGATCGTCATGGCCGTGCTCTCCGCGGCCCTCCTCGCCGCCGGCGTGCTGCGGCATTATTGGGACATCTACGTCCACCGCACCGTCCGCGGCATCTCGTTCATCTTCGTCGCGATCGACGCCGCTGGAGACGTCTTCTCGCTTGCGTCAATCTTCTTCCAGCCTTCCGTTGATATCCTCGGTGTCATTATCTACGCCACCGAGTTCGTACTCTGGTGCGGCGTGTTCGCCTGCGGTGGATACTACAACTTCTTGCCGTGGTTCCGAAAGAAGATGCTTGCGAAGGAGGATTCCGAACGTGCAAGTCCCGCGGAAGTGAACTCAAACCGTGCAGACGACGTTTCGGCAGGCAATGGACTTGCACTGCACGATATGCCCTCTTCAACATCCGTCTTTCGCACCGCTTCCGGCGAGGAGCCTGGCCTTCGCTCCAGGGCTATCGCATCTCGCCACAGTTAAACTGACATCACAGACTAAGAACCGGCTCTTTTGAGGAGTCAAGATGAATTCAGTCCAACGAAGCAAGCTCCGCATTGTCTACCTGAACTCGTATGATACAGCGCATCGCCATTCTTCCAGCATGCCGACACACATAAAGAAGGTCCGCCATAGACAAATTTGAAAGTTTTCTTCTCCAAGTACCACCTTGTGCCTTGTTCCTGGAAGAAAAAAAAAAGATAATGAAATGAAACTCCTCCCAAACGCTTTCCTCCGTTCTGCTTGTTGTCACGATCTAAACCTCTGCGTACGCGCTTACAGCAACAGTGTAGCGAATGCCGCCGCGGCGATGGCACCGATGCTGATGGAAACAGCGCTGGCGCCGGCCTTGGCAGGAGAAGATGTCTTGGGGCCGTTCATGGTGCCGTTGCTGGGCATGCCACCACCCATGCCGTTGGCGTTGTTGCACTTGCCAGGGGAGAAGTTGTCCTTGGAGTCGCTCAGAGACTTAGCGAAGGAACCGGCAAGCTGGCTGGCGACGGACTGAACGCTCTGCGGCACCTTCTTGACAACGGCATCAATGAGCTTCTGCGCGCTGGTGCCGGTCTGGTCAATCTGTGTGACGATGACGTTGCAAAGGTTGGCCTTCTCGAACTCGGGCTTCTTGTCGTTGAGGCCCTTGATGAGGGCGTTGCCGTCGGACTGCAGGCCCGAGACGAACTGCTGAAGGTTGAGGGCCTCGTTGAGAGTGATCTCGCTCGTGGCGTCGACCTGCGTTGTGCCCTGCTGCAGGGTGCTGACGAGGCTGCCGGCCGCCGTGGCCAGGCCGTTGATGTCGCCGTTGAAGCCCTGGACGGCCGTGTTGAGGGACTTGAGCTGGTTGTCGACCTGCTGGATGACACCGGAGATGGTGGCCAGGTCGCGCTCGACTACGGAGGGAACGTCGCGCTGCACCCTTGTGGGCATCTCGGCGAAGGCGCCGGCAGCCAGGGTAAGGAGGGTGACCTCGGTGGTGAACTTCATCGTGACTTTTTTTTCTTTTTTGACGGTTGATGTTCCTTCGAAGAGGTGTAGCGTAGGATTAGGTGTGTAGGTTTAGAGAGGGGGTATAAGTCCGAAGGTATCTCTTTGTTCCGTATTTGACCAGCAATCGTGGGGGATCAAAGGAAAATCGACGGAAAGGAAAGAGGGCTCTCAAAGGCTTATACGTATGGCACAGACTGGATCCGGGACCCAAGATTCGAAGACAAGAGAGACACCCACACCCAGAACAGACACAGGAGGGGGCAAAACAACCTTCATCGCACAGACGGTAACATTATCTGGAATCTCAGCTCATCACTTTCCCAAAAGCGTAATCCGTCTCACATGTAGCCCACGGTTCACCCTCGTAGCCCAACACCACCACATATGGTTTTGAAGAAGCAGAGGAGGGGGAAAACTGCTTCGACGGCGCTTCTTCGAACCGGGGCAGGCCTCCCGTCCGCAATCGCATTGACTTGCTGTCTTCGCTACCTGACGTCAATGCATGGATCAGTTAGGGAGCCCAGCCCCGGCTGGCCTTCCAGGCGGGAACGCGAGAAGGAGAGTGAGTGCTTGCTGAGCCACTCGCATCGCACGAATCGTGAGACTTCTACGGCAGTATCGATGGATCAGTCTTCCTGGGGCGATCGTCGACCTGGGTGCCTCAACCCTGCTCAAGGTAAGGTGCTTATTCCACACAAGCTCGACGGGTAGTCCACTGACGGTGCTTCCTCCCTCCCCCGCTCTCATCCATACTACGATCCGCCGAAAAAGAAGTCAAGATGATTAAGCGTTCGCTTCACTTTTGATGATCCTGAAGGTGGCAACTCTGCTCATCCTGAAGAATGACTCCTGGCTGCTGCGGCTCAAGTTCTTCCCATCTTGCCGGCCAAGCCTCTGTGTATCGCCTGAACAACCACACTTACACACACGGCGACCAGCACAACCACCGACGGAGTTATTTTAAAACATCAAACGGAACTGTCCCCGAAGCAAGTTGGGGGTTAACTGCTGTAAGGCAGCGGCAAGGTACGCTCCAACCCCATCGCCCCGCCCTCCAGCATGATACGAAGTGCCTCGCCGAAGTGAAACGTGAAACGTGCGGACAGATCCCTGCTCAACTCTCCCCGAGCCCAGGAGATCTGGCGATCCCCCACAGCCCCACGGCTGTATTCCACGGCTCTGCTGTGGATTTCCTCGCTCCAGAGTTCTGTTATTGGATATTCGAGAGCTCCTTTCAGGTTGATTGCTGGCTCGTCTTGTCAGGCCGACCCAAGTCGGCTCGACAAATCCATCAAAAATCACGGCAGGTTGAGCCCGAGAATCAGACCACGACCTGGCGCGAGCTCCTCTCGACCCTTTCGTCTTGGCCGTGTCTCTTCAATGTACGAAGGGTCTTGGCCCAGGGGTCCTACCAAACGGGGTAGAGGGATTCGACGATCCCCGGGCATAGCAGACGTGGGATATCGCATGTTCTTAAACTCATGAGCTTTCAGTTGATTGAAAATCGATGCAGAGTCCGGGCCTTGCGACATTTCCATGTCTTGCAGTCTCTGTGCGGCCACCGACGATGGCTTCGTTGGCCGGTGCTGAAGGCCTTCGAGCATGCATGGCCACCTGTCAACGAGATGCCGGTGAAGCAGCTTGCCTGACACAAAATGCAGGCGGACTTCCCGCAACTCAAAGGGCGGCGGTCTGAGTCAACCCCAAGAAACATGGCGCGTGAAGCCGAGGAACCACTCCCACGAACTCTTGCCGAATCCAACCAGTGTTTGGTGTGCCGTATGGTATGGACCGGTCTTTTAGCACGCCAACCCCGTGGCTGCCAGTGGGTGTGATGGGAGACCTGAACCATCGACCGTGGGGGTGGCTGAGAGAGTGAGAGTTTGACGAGGATTGAATCGTAGCCGACTGTACCAACGTCTCAGAGTCGGCTGAGTTACTCCTGTTGCCTCTAGAGCTCTGGAGCAAGATTCTTGCTGCGAGTATCAGAGTCCAGGTGAAACGGAAAAAGGTACAGCTTAGACCGCGGCGGAGACGCGGGCAGCCAATGTATCGCCAGAGAGTCTCGAGGGGAGGGCAAGCTTCCGACCTTCGGCCGACTCTGCCGCGCAGAAACGCCAGACGAAACTGATTGGCCCGGTACGACCGCACCGTCGCACGGCGCGTCAAAGTGTAGGTGCCACATCGCTTGTCAGTTTCTAAACATGCTACTGCACGGAATGCAGAGACTCGGCCTCGGCTCCGCGTGCCCTTCGCATCGGGACGGCCAAAAAGGGAACCCCATAGTGGCTTTCTCACCAATGGCGACAGGACCTCCGGCTTCTGTCCGTTTCTGGTTTCTTACATGCCCGTCGACTTCCCAGTCTCGGTCTCGCCATTTGTGTTTTTGGATGAAGAATCATGGGACGGCAAATTGCTATGTCTCCATGCTGCAACAGCCATTGGCAGCTGATTTCGAGTTGCATGAGACAATCAACTCCAGACGAACCCTTCAGCTGATTCTCCTGCCTGGACGTGGCCTGGACACACATCTCGAAAGCGAGTGAAGTATCCTCATTTATTCCCGCAGTCGCTATTATTCCTCTGCCGCCCGGGCCGCGGCAGAGCGGCGGTTTGCGCGGACTGCGCTGGGACGTTGATACCGCGGAAGAGACTCTCAGATATACGGTAAGGCATCTATCCGTAAGAACTGAGAACGCGGGGCGCTGAGCAGTGTTCTGATAGGCACGTCAAAAGTTGACGTGCGTGTCATCCATAATAATGCTAACTCATAGGTTAGATGGGTATCATGCAAAATCCTCCAAGCCCTTCTTCCCCTTAGTCATCCCCTGTACTGTCCCCTTTTTTTGGCCAACGCAAACGAGACCCTCGCTCATCACTTGAAGATTCGTCTGCCGCCGGTGCGCACAGGGAATCTTTCAACGCCACTGGACTGTTGTTCGTGCCACAGACCCTGGATACCAACCCAGCCGCCGTCGCCTGACATTTTATACCGCCGCCATGCCTCACGGAGATGATCCGGCCGTAAAGGACCTCGCCTGTCTTCCTTGGCGGCCTGACTGGCCTCGCCATTCTCGTCTTTTGAGACGGGCGGTGGTGTCGGCAACTCCGACTGCTTCTCGCCAGTTGCCTTGATCCACTCTCCTTGCACGTCTCGAGCTCTTTCGATGAGCTCGCCGATGAAAAGTTTTGAGACTGACTTGACGGCGAGTGCGACGTTGGGCGGAACGGATTGCGATACGGTTGCGTTGACGACCTGGGCAGTGTAAGTATGGTATAGCGTGGACGGCGGATGACAGGCCGTCAAAAGCAGCGACAAGATGGGAGCAAACTTACTCTCTTGACCACGGACTCCGTAAGCTTCGCGGCACGCCAGAGTTCGTAGCGGTCGTATTGTGCTGGGTCGAATGACTCGACCAACATGGCACGAAGTCTGATCTCTTCCTGCTTTTGCTCTTGCGTTCTGGCTGTAGTGTCGACCAAGGCCATGCGCATATCGTTGTCGTCGTCATCGTCGTTACCGCCATCCTCTTGTCCCTCAGCTCCCGCGCCTGTGCCACTGACCGTCGTCGGTGCGCGACCACCAACAAGCGAGGGTGTCTGCTCTCTGGTTTCCACGTTCGTCTGGTTCTTGGGCTTCCGGCCGCGCTTCTTCTTAGGAGGCGCGCTAACCTGGCTGCCACTGACCACGCTCATGGTATCGGCTGACGGTGATCGCGGGAAAGGAGATCCAGCTCCATCGGGAGGGAATGAAGTTTGACGGAGAGGATGGGCGGAAGCTGCGGAGGTGACGGAAAGGGTAGAGGCCTTGCGGCGCTTGAGAGAGGGCTGGGACCCGCCTTCGGAGGCGCGCTTCTTGTTCGTTGTCGGGAGCGGTGCCGATGTAGGATATGGGGGAGACAGAGCGGTCGGCGAGTTTGCGTACGGAGGAGAAGCCATCGTGGCGGCTATCGAGGTCGGTCGAGGTTGGTCTGGGCCGTCCTGCAGAAGCTACGCCTGCGCCGTCGAGAGTGACTGTCGGACGTTTCTAGAGAGTTTTTGTCGTGGATCTATCTCGAAAAGAAGCTTCCAATTGTTTCTGAGAAGCTCGGGGGCGTTGTTGGAAGGCGGAAGTCAGGGACGTTGGCGTGGAGTCGAAATTCACGATTGGCAGACCAAACTGGAAGTGAGGCGCGACTTGAGGAAGGAAGCTACGCAAACGCCAGGCGCAGGGAAGGTACAAGCTGACTAAGGTGACGGCAGATCACATGACCACCTTGGCTGAGCAGGTACGAAGGTACTGCTACCTTAGCTCAAGGTGCACTGATCCAATGAGCCAGTCAACCTTGGCGGGTAAGCCACATGGCTGGCGAGTGCATTGTGACTAAGCCGAAAGTTCCACTGGACTGGACCCTGACGCCAGAAAAGCTGGGGTGCAAAGGTGCTGCACCTCAAGAAGGAACTTTTGGTGCTACGCCGCGATAAGATAACGAACGCTGCACGCCGCCCATAACCGAATTTTCTTCTCCGACTTAGCTCCAGGCGAATGACTCTCAGCGGGTCGCTTCCCGAGTGTCTTGGTCCTGGTTTCTTGCGCCGGAGCTCCATCATCCTCCTCCCACTTACACCTCTCAATTCTCTCCACATCGCCAATCCGCGCTCCTAATACCTCAAAAATGACACAATTCGAGGGCGCCGAGCTCAAGAAGGGCAAGAAGACCAAGCACAACCACCACAACGGCCTCAGCGGATCCAGCGACGGAAGCGATGCCGAGACCGCGAGCCAGGCCAGCAGCAGCAAGCGGGGCAAGAAAGACAAGTCGAAGCGCAAGCGCGAGGGCGACGACGCCGAGCTCAACGGCAACTCCAAGAAGCATCGTCGTCCCAGCTTGAGCCGTCCGGCTCGCGATCCTCGGGATACCACATCCTCCTCCTCTAAGAAGGTGAAGAAGCCCAAGAACGAGGGCGCCGTGACAAGGTCACCCAGCCCCGTTATTGACTTTGATGGCCTGAGTCGC